TCGTCCGCACGCCACGAAGTGAAGTGTCCCAACGTCATAGGGCGGGAAGCTGGGTTTGGGTGGTCGCGAAGAGTCGTTTGGATATTTGGTAGAGCTTGAACTGCCCCCCCACGAAGTGGGGGTATTGTCTCGCGTCGCATGAAAACCCTGGCACTGGTGAGAACACTGAGCGTTCGGGTAAAATGATTGTTGTTGTTGTTGTTGTTGTTGTTGTTGTTGTTGTTGTTGTTGTTGTTTGTTGTCGCCGTCCGACCCGCGACCCACCCGCGACCCACCCCGCGACCCACCCCGCGACCCACCCCGCGACCCACCCGCGACCCAACCCGCGACCCACCCGCGACCAAACCCGCGACCCACCCGCGACCAAACCCGTGACCCACCCGCGACCCACCCCACGACCCACCCGCGACCCATCTTGCGACCCATCCGCGACCCACCCGCGACCACCCTCGACCCACCCCGCGACCCACCCGCGACCCACCCGGCGACCCCCCTTCAACGGAGGAAAACCACCCAGATTCGACCATGGACTATTACTAAAACGGCCCTGGGCGTTGACTGAACAGCCCTGCCCCGTTCGATCTTTTCCTTGTGTGCATTTACTAAACGGTTTCGCTTGTCGGGGTGGTTACTATGGGGTGGATTTTCTGTCAACTACACTCGCGACCCACCCGCGACCCAACAGCAACCCACCCGCGACCCACGCGCGACCCATCCCGCGCGCCCCACCCCGCGACCCACCCGCGACTCACCCCGCGACCTACCCACATTGGTTTAACGACAAATCGACGCCTGCGGCGGGCTCGTTGTATGATTTGTAAAACTGTTGTGCCTGCGGCGGGCTTCTCCCGAGCCTCGGAAACTGCCAACGTCCCCACCGCCCCCTCACTCTTATCCGCATCTGCGGGGTGCTACGTACCGTGACCTGAGACCCGTCCCACACATCCGAGAATGCAAGCGGACTCACATGTTCCAGCCATCGAAATACCCAAAGAAGTTGAGGACGCAGAAGGAGGGCCCCGAGACGTCTGCACTTTTGCAGGTTCCCCCCAGACCAGCCCTCACCTGAGACACAGTAGACACGTATCGATACGAACGAGCAAGTTTTCATATGCTTTGAGGCCGCCTGAAATCCATCAAGCGTGGTGAAGCCATCAGCGCGCAATTCGCGCCACGACAGTGCTAGATTGTGCACGCGTTTGTGGCCTGCTAGGAGCCAGTCGCACCACTCATTGGCCCTCTAACCATCCGCCGTGGATCCCTTCCCACATGGACGAGGAGAATTCGCCAACAGTTTCAACTTCTGGCCGTGGACCTTATGGTCCATTCCACGATGCCCACGTAGCGAAACCGAGGATGCAGGTCCTATGCCATGCGGAGTTTTGCTGGTTTCACCCAGATGTCAGAGAACGCTTACGGACCATGATTGGCCAGTGCGCCGCCTGGCGCACGGTGATTGTTGTTGTTGTCGGTGTTGATGTTGTTGCTGCTGTTGTTGTTGTTGTTGTTGGTGTCGTCGTCGTTGTTGTTGTTGTTGTTGTTGTTGTTGTTGTTGTCGTCGTTGTTGTTGTTGTTGGTGTTGTTGTTGTTGTTGTTGTTGGTGTTGTTGTTGTACGTGGTGTCGTTGTTGTTGGTGTTGGTGTTGTTGTTATTGTTGTTGGTGTTGTTGTTGTTATTGTTGCTGTTGTTGTTGTTGTTGTATGCTTGTCTTCACATGCGTGTGAGGGTCGCGAAAATTAAGTTACAGCACTCGCTCTCGTAGGCCCCCGTTCGGTGGAGCTGGTCACCATGAGTCGCCTTCAAACCGAAGGTGCCACTGAAGTAGAAACTGAAGCAGCAGGGCTATTGTTCGAAGTAGTCGGAGCCATTGCACCCCTACCCTGACTCGCACAGCGCCTGTGTGCACCACAGCAACCGTGTACAGCAGAGCACCCCTGTCAAGAATGTTTGAAGGACTCCGAGTGACAAGATGGAGCGCCTGTGGATTCCACAGAAAACATTCGTTTCAAATTCGCTGTGAAGAAGGAGCTCGTATGGAAACAGAACGCCTCTGGAATATACGAGTCCTCCCTCCTCTCTTCTCTCTCCTATCTCTTCTCTCCTCTTCCTCCTCCTCGACCTTCTCCTCCTCCTCCTCCTCATCCTCCTCCTCCTCCTCCTCCCTCTCCTGAGTCCTGCCGCATCATCCTAAGTTCTGCCATCTGCGTCCATCTGGTCCCGCAGAGCTGGCCGTCCGAGAACCAAGTGGACTTGATTCAATAGACAATTTTTCCGGGATGCGCACTGCAATACGCACATGCGCCGTAGCGCTGACCCGCACGACGGGGGGAGGGGTGAGAGAGGAGGAGGAAGAGGAGGAGGAGGAGGAGGAGGACGAGGAGCGGGAGGAGGAGCGGGAGGAGGAGGGAGGAGAAGGAAAGAAACTTGCATCATATTATCAGCATTCCCCTTGCGTGGCGTTTAGCTGTCCGCAGCAGATCCTGACCTAGATGCTCGTTTTACCTGTCTTGTGCACGCAGGCGCTGTGGTGTACACCAGCGCTGTTGTTCCCTCGGGAGCTGTGGTGTACACAGGCGCTGTGGCGTGCACAGGCGCTGCGGTGCACGCAAGCATTGTGGTGTACCCAGGCGCTGTGTTGCAGACGGCTGCTGCGGTGCATACAGTCGATGTGGTGTACACAGGCGCTGTGGTGCACGCAAGTACTGTGGTGTACACAGGCGCTGCGTTGCACACTGCGGTTGCAGTGTACACAGACGCAGCGGTGTACACGGGCTATGTGGTGCACGCGAGTTTTGTGGTGTACACAGGCGTTGTGGTGCAGATTGCCACTTGCATGCTGCTCCCGAGGAGGCAGAACAGGAGGACAGCCAGCAGTTTGCCAGGCTCCTGCGGCGGGCCTGGCGTGGCTTGCCAGGGTCCTTGGGGGCACTACTGTGGCGCATTTTCGGAGTCCGATCTTTAGAGGCTGGCTGGCCGCGTTCTCCGAGGCCCAAGCGCACCGCAACGGTGAAGACTCGATCTGGAGCCGAACTCTGCGTACTGCGAGTTCACGTCTCGCAGACTTGTACGCTCGGTAGGGGGTATCGGGATCCACAACCTGGCACCCAACGAGCTAATCACCTAATCCTCTGAGCAGCGTGAGTGCCAGTAGTTGTGCCAGGGCTTCGTGGCTGTCCAGGGCCCTCGGCTAGCGGCTAGCGACGTTTACGGCTCTCTTTATCAGCGCACCCGAGTTTGCGACACCCTGGATTCCAGCATTTCTTTGTCTGGGTTGGGACTTGGTCCATTTGCCGTGTTTGTCTCACGAGAGGCGCCCTCTAATCATGAATCATGAACTCCAAATTGTCCAGCTTAGCCCAACCTTGGCCTCCCTCAGCTTGGGAGCAGGAGTGGCGGATGAGGCGGAGGATGGATAGATGGCACGCTCGTCGCAGCGGTGACCGAACCCGACTTTGGAAGCCACAGGAGCTGCGCCAGCCTGTCACGGCCGCGCACGACGGTGAGCAGCTGATGATGGGCTTGTTTTCCACCACCACCACCACCATAAGTTGCGGGGAGGAAAGAGGTGGAGGATGAGGAGGAGGAAGAAGAGGAGGAGGAGGAGGAGGAGGAGGAGGACCCCCTCCACCTCCAACTTATGGTGGTGGCGGTGGAAGACAAGCCCACCAGCTGAAGAGGCATGTCCCAAAGCACATGCCAGTCCCAGGGGCCCTGCGGCCAGAATGCCGCCGTGCACCAGCCTGGAGTGCCCCGTCTGTAGAGTCCCCGAGCCGCAGGCCCGGGCACGCCTGGAGTCTGTTACAGCCGGGGCCCTGAGGAAGGAACCCTTTTCGTTGGGGAGGGGCTCGGTGTTCCTTGATTGTTTCGCAGCTTGCCTCAGGGTTTCCTTATGTTTTCGATGGGAGATCGAAGTTTAACTTATGGAAAATAGGGGCCTCGTTCCTTATTTAGGGTTCCTTAGGTCAACGCCTCGACTGTATTCAAGAAATGGTTGACGGCGCTCATGCGTCGCCAGAGGTTTGCTCCATGGCCAGAGGGCTCGGCCGCAAGCCGCCCAGGGTGCGCCCGTCGCGAGCGTCTGTTTCCCTCTCGGCTCGGGTGGAGGAGTCTGGCTCGCGGGCCAGGAGCAAGTTGAGCACGGACTGGCAGGTGGTTGCGACGAGTCTTGTCACAAGGAAAACAGGCCCGTTCCGGGCGCCCGGACCTGTGGAAACGGCCTCACGGCGCTTGGGTCCTCGAGATGGGGCGTCCACGAGATGTAGGAGCAGCATGGCCCAGGACAGTTGGAAAGGCGGAGAAGGACGAAGAACGGGAGGAGGAGCTGAGGAGGAGGAGGAAGAGGAGGGGATTTAGGAGTTGGTTCACGAGGAGCAGATGGCGGGCGTACTCCAATTCCATATTCTTTCGCGGCATCTTTGTGAATTGTTGAGCTCTTGTGGCAGCGTTGCGAGTCAGGGCACAGGAGCAGGAGGAGAAACGGGAGGATGAGCCGACTGACAATGAGGAACGAGAGACGGATCACGAAGAGCAGGACCAGGAGGGCGAGGACGAGGAGTCAGAGCAGGAGGTGGAAGACAAGCAGAAAGTGGCAGAAGTTAGAGGAAGCTGGAGGTAGCAGAGGCGTGAAGAGGAACAGGAGTAGCAGCATCAGGGGCTGGAACGGCTGCATGAGCTGGTGAAGGTGGAGGGCGGGGGGCAGATGGAGATGATGGAGGCAGGGGAAGATTGGGCACAACAGCGGAAGGAGTCGGAGCTAGCGCCGGATGAGCAACTTGGATGAGGAGGCGGAGGCGGATAAGATGAAGGAGGAGGAGGAGGAGGAGGAGGAGGACGATGAGGGGGAAAGGGAGGAGGAGGAGGAGGAGGAGGAGGAGGAGGAGGGGGAGGAGGATGATGAGGAGGAGGAGGAGGACGACGAGGCGTTCGATGGGGGAGATGGAAAGGGCAGCATCGGCAGTGTGCAGCAGCAGGCGGCGCCGTGCCGCGCCCCTGCCGCCGAGGCGACTACCGGGGAGGGCGCAAGAACGGCAAGGGGAAGTTCTCCTGGCAGGACTCGCCCCGTGAGACCCGGAGCCTTGAGACGGGGGTGAGTTCTCCTGGCAGGGCCGGTGCCCCTCGGGAGCCTTGAGACGGGGGTGAGTGCAAACGGGGGTCAGCCAGAGCGCCCGATCTTGCAGGATCCTGCAGGGCCAGGGTCCCATTGACCGGGGCTTGGGTGCAGGATCCTGCAGGATGCTGCAGGATCCTTCGCAGTGACCCGGGCTTGGGCGCAGGATCTTGCAGGAGTTTGCAGGATTCTGCAAGGCTTGACTGGCCCGGGTCTGGATTGACCCGGGTCAGGAGATCCCCGAGCCTCGCTGGCCGAGGCGAGGAGCAAATGGCGGGAGCGAGGAGGGCAGGAGTGAGCGAGCTCGTCGCAAGCACTCCTCGCTGCGAGTCTCGGCCGCGCGCAGAGGGGTGTAGGGGGCGGGGGGGGAGGCTTCTCGGAAGCGCCCCCCTGCTTCTCAGAAGGTGCAGGCCTTGTCTGTAGATGTAGGGCCGGCGCCTTCGGAGGAGCAGCCTTCTTCTAAGAAGCTCTCCCCCCTTCCCCTGCCTCCCTGTCCACGCCGCCAAGATCCGCGCCCGCATGCGGCGCTCATCGGATACTGCCACAGCTCGCCCTGGCACGGGTTGACCCCAGCTGTTGCAGGGGGGGGTCAAGAAGATGGCCTTCTGGAGACCCCTCAGGAGGCCCCGAGGACCCCAGTGGGCCCCAGGCGTGGCCCGAGAGGCTGGGGAGACCCCGTGCCAGGACGAACCTACTCTGGCAGCACTCTGCAAATTCTGTTATTCGACTTTCTGATACTGTCGTCGCCACCTCCGCTCGGCCAATGCGCTGCCCTATGGCGTCTGGTGTGACCTCCGTCATCAGGACGGCTCCACCTACGAAGGGGAGTTCGTGGACAATGACATCCACGGGGAGGACCAATTTTGATATCTTCTGCCGCCCAGGGAGTGTGCACGTGTGTAGGTGCTGTTGTGCGCGCGTGCGCAGCTAATTACCTGTCTGTGTGAGTCGACGTACGTGCGCAGCTCGACCAGGATGTGCCATCAAGGCCCCTAGGCCGCCTGGACCATGCGCAGGTAAGGCCCCTCCGCGCCACCCTGCTCCCAGTGCTCCCATGATCATGATGATGGTGATGGTGGTGATGATGATGATGATGATGAGGATGAGGATGAGGATGAGGATGAAAATGATGATGATGATGATAATGATGAGGATGATGATGATGATGATGACGATGATGATGGTGATGATGATGGTGTTGATGATAATGATAATGATACTGATGAGGATGATAATGATGATGATGATGATGGTTATGATGCTGCTGATGATTAGACGATGATGGTGGGGATGATGATGGCGATGCTGATGGTGGTGATGATGGTGGTAGTGATCCTGGTGATCATGGTGACGATGAAGATGATGGAGGTGATGACAATGCTGATGCTGGTGCTTCTGATGGTGGTGATGATGATGCTAACGATGACGCTGATGATAATGCTGCTCACGATGATGATGACGAAGATGATGACGATGACAATGATGATGATGTTGATGATAATGATGGTGACGATGATGATGATGATGATGATGATGCTGATGATGATGGTGATGATGGTGCTCATGATGATGATGATGGTGGCGATGCTGATAATGATGATGATTATTCTGATGATGATGATGCTCTTGCTCATACTGGTGATGATGCTGCTGCTGATGATGATGATGATGATGATGATGATGGCGATGATGGTAATCGTGATGTGATGGTGACGGTGATGGTGATGATGATAATCGTGGTGATGATGGCTTGAGAAGGTGATCGGCATGCGCAGCGCGTTGTATCCATCCGCCCCTGGCCTCCTCTTCGGTGTCGCGCCGATCCATCAAGCGAGTATCTGCATGGGCGCGGTCCTGTGCGCACGCACATCGGAGGCCCAGGGGTTTGAACCTTCCGCGGGTTTGCTACACCTGGGAAGACAATCTTCGAAGCTGGAGTTCCTTGTCGTTCGTCATCGGCGGTACGACCCCCTCTTGCCTCCTTCTGAGGCTAGTTCCCCCTTGCCCCACCCCCTTGCGCGCGCTGCCAATGTCATGCGTCGTGCTCGGCCGTGGCGTCCAGTAGTGGCTTCTTGGCGCAGCCAGCAGACGGCGAGTGAGCGGACACGCGGCAGGATACAAAGCAAGGTGCGTAGAGATCAGCATGTGAGCATAGCTCAAACAAGGCTTAAACACACGGGTACTGCGTTTTACCTATTTCTTCCGGTCTAGACCTTTTTTGTTCGACGGAGCAGTTGCAACGCAGGTGATCCGTCATTGGTTCTGGCAGGTTTGGTTCGTGGTGCCGTCGATCATTCAGGCATCGGGTCTGCGCAAGTTAGCCCCTCTGTTGGGCCCATGGCGTCATTTCCCCAGGTGTGCTTCTCAGGAATTGGCAACACGCGTCTTGCCCGCTCCTCTCTTGAGTTATCCTCGTGTGCGGGGGCCACGTCCACGGTGCGTCGTTGTGTTAAGCGATCCCATGTCGGTTCAAAGTGCGCAGCAGCCTTTTGCAAAAGTAATGGTCGTAATCCTGCTGACTCTCGTCCTACTCCACCCCCCCGCCTCCCCAGCCTACATCCTATGTTCGCTTCTTCCTCCAATAGTTTCCTCCTGCACTCGCTTACCCTCTTTCAAAATTCACCATCACAGCGGCTCCTCCTTCTCGTCCCCCTCATCTCACTCCCCGTCCTTCTTGAAATCGCCCTCCATCTACAGATTCCTCTTCCACTCCTGCCACCCCTCTTGTTTTTCCTCCTCCCACTTCTCCGCCTCCCCCTCCTCTTCGTCCCCCTCATCCTTCTCCTTCCTCTCCTCTCTCCCTCCCGTTCTGCGCGTGCCTCTCTTCCTCACATAGTCCCAGGCGTGCGCCCTCTCCGTTCTCTGGCCGAGGATCGCCCGCACACCGCACGACATAACCTTGAGAGATGGCTGTGCAGGCTTCTCAAGTACAAGCACATTTCGCAAAGTAGGGGCAGTGCTGAATGTCTATCTTGCCGAGTGAAGTGGTCGGCAGGCATGGCCAATATTCAAAACCGTTACCCTTCCTTCTTATTGTCATTGCCAGGGAAGGTGCAGCATTTGGGAGGCTGGTTCCTTTAGTCCGTATGGGTCTGAATTTCTGCATGCGTTCTGCACGGCTGCATGCAGATCGAGCTCGGTCAACTCATTCGTTGCCGAATCCCCCCGCTAGGCGACGGCATTTGCAGCCGACTCCTGTTGGATCAGACAAAGTGTGATCAAGACTCCACCGGTGCCGATCTCGTGAGTGCAGCTGGCATTAAAGTCGCCCCGCCACAGCTCCTCGCTCTGCCAGGCGATGCACCGAGCGTCGGGCGTGTCTGGCCCAAGCCGGGTGCCGCAGTAATGCTCTCATCTCATTCCCGCTCTTGTTTTGTATCGGCCAATTGTCCGATACTTCGCCTATCTACACATAATCTTACGTGACCCCAAGCAGTGTGATTCTAGCAATATAGGTTGTGCAATCGGTGTTGAACCGAGCCGTACATGTGGAGCGATCTGTGTGGTGCAATCCATTGTTTTCCCAATGATGTGTCCACTTCACTACTTGCGCAATCATCCCGCACACCCACACGCACCTAGGTTTGCACAATCCATGCGGCGGCGATTGCGATGACTGCTTGGCGCTGGCTGGCTCATTGTTGCGGCCGCGCCATCGCGCGCAGGTTCGCGCGCAGAGCGGCCAGCTAGTCTTGCGCGACCGACGCGGCCGCTGTTGCGCTGACCGCTGGGAGTCCCAGCGCGTCTCGCAGGTCTCACTGACGCGCGGGCACTGCAGCGCGAGTCGGTAGATTGGGCCGGCGTGGTATCATGACGACTACAGCAACGGCAGGCGCATGATGATAGCAGCGATGTTCGGCCAATGACGGTGCCGATGCTGATCACGTCGATGACAATGACGGTGTCCACGTCTCAGTTGTGAAAGCTTTGGAAGGATTCCGACATTTGCGACGCCTTTGTTCTTTCAACAACATATCGGCAACGATGTATCTGGGAACCTCGCTCTTGACCCCGTTACCAAACCCATGGTTTTTGAGACTTTCGGCGTGCGCGCGCGACGGCGCTCGCGCATGGACACCGTTACGCTTTTGTGGGGTTGCAGCAGACTGATGGGAATTTGTTATTGTTGATCAACGGGTGTGCGCGCATAGTATCATTTGACAGGGATGAGGGGGCGGCCACGGCTGGGCTGGCATGGAATTATTTCATATTTGACATTAACGATCGGGCAAGGTCCGTTTGTCAATTGCAGTGTCCCAGTGGGGGGCGAGATTCCCGTGGGTGTGGGATCGTGTCAATAGTTTTCAGAAACGGAACTGATGTCGTGCAAGCTATGTTGTTCACTATTTGTTGGGCCGTATGCATTGCGCGATCTACGCGGTGCAATCCATCGTGTGCAACCATTGGTTTGCAATGTATGCGTAACAATATATGGTGTCCAATCTGCGGTGCGGAAATACCGTACAACGTAGGTTCTGCCATTTGTGTGGTGCGATCTATGCTTCGACGTGACACACCCAATGTTATACAATCGGTTCTGTGCAACACTTGCTGTGTGATACCTGTTGTGCAATCTATGTGGTGCGACCTATATTGTGCCGTCGATGTAGTACAGGCTATGTGATGCAAGCGGTGTTGCGCAACACAATACAAGACAAAACGATGCAAAGCACGGCGAATCACACGACAGCTCGCCGCTTGGGCCCCACCGCCAGCCCAAAGAACCATAAGTCGGGCGCTTCCCCGTACTCATTCGAATGCTCACCTTCCGTCTTCGTCAGAGTGATAGGGCCGAACAGTCATTCATTGTCCCTGGTGCGTGGCTGAACTGGGGGTCCGTGGTGAGGGGTCTGCGTGTTGCGTTGTTGTTGATGATGTTGTCTGTTGTCGTCGTCGCACCCTGCGACCCACCCGCGACCCACCCCGCGACCCACCCCGCGACCCACCCCGCGACACACCACGCGACCCACCCCGCGACCCAAATTGCGACCCACCCGCGACCCAACCGGCGACGCACCCGCGACACACCCCTCGACCCACCCGCGACCCACCCGCGACCCACCCCGCGACCCACCCGCGACCCACCCCGCGACCCACCCCGCGACCCACCCCGCGACCCACCCCGCGACCCACCCGCGACCCAACCCGCAAACCAAACTGCGACCCACCTCGCGGCCCACCCGCGAATTTCCCCGCGACCCACCCGCGACGTCCGCGAATAAAACCGTCTCCTTGCGGTTGCGCCATAGGTTGCGCCCTCGGCGGCCGAAAACAAATGGCACGCGCGCCATGGCTCTTGCACAGAAAAGGAAGGGGGAGGAGGCGGAGGGGGCGCGCTTGCTGGTGAATGGGGTGATGGAGGGGGCGCTCGGGATGGGGGTGTCGGGGCGGAGGGGGCGCGTTGGTTGGTGGTTGGGGGGATGCGGGGGGAGCGCTCGGGGTGGGGGGGCGGTGCCGTGCCGAGATGAGTGGTTCAGGGCGGAGGGGGCGGTGCCGCGCCAAAACAAAGGGTTCCGGGCGGAGGGGGCGCGCTGGCTGAAGGGTGGGGGGGATGCGGACGGGGCGCGCGAGGAGGGGGCAGAGGGGTCGGTGCCGCGCCAAAATAAAGGAGTCGGGTCGGACGAGTGTGCCGTGCCGAAATAAAAAGGTCGGGGCGGAGGGGCGCGCTGGCTTGTGAGTGGGTGGGTGGGTGGGGGGGCCTAATAAAGGTGTCGGGGCGGAGGGGCGCGCTTGCTGGTGGGTGGGGGGGTGCGGGGGGGTGCGCGGGGCGCGCGGGGAGGGAGTTGGGGTCGTGCAGACATAAAGGGGTCGCGGGGCGCAGGATGCACGTTGGCCAGTAAGTGGGGGGATGCGGTGTGTGTGTGTGTGTGTGTGTGTGGTGTGTGTGTGTGTGTGTGTGTGTGTGTGTGTGTGTGTGTGTGTGTGTGTGTGTGTGTGTGTGTGTGTGTGTGTGTGTGTGTGGTGTGCGTGTGCGTGTGCGTGTGCGTGTGCGTGTGCGTGTGCGTGTGCGTGTGCGTGTGCGTGTGCGTGTGCGTGTGCGTGTGCGTGTGCGTGTGCGTGTGCGTGTGCGTGTGCGTGTGCGTGTGCGTGTGCGTGTGCGTGTGCGTGTGCGTGTGCGCGTGTGCGTGTGCGTGTGCGTGTGGTGTGCGGCGTGTGCGTGTGCGTGTGCGTGCGTGCGTGCGTGCGCGCGCGCACGCGCAC